AATAGCCACACTTTCTGTGTTCTTGGTACTTTCCAGCGGGGCAGCAATAGAAGACCTTTCCATGATTCGGTCCGTTGTTAGAAACGACGAGTCGCTTAGACCTTCGGCCACACCTGCATAATGGAGGTGTCATCCTCCCACTCCTCAGAGGCTCCTGTAGGTTAACCGCAGAGGTTAAGACAGAGGGGAGACCCTTCCGGGCAGAACCCCTCACTGGGGAGCCGGCGGATGATGCGGGCTTTTCTTCATGAATAGTGAAGCTCTGTTTCTTTGCTGGTGGGAAGGCTGGGGGACTGGCTGGGCTCCTTTTAGCGCCACCTAAGAGAGGCCGTTTTCCCCAAACCGAAGGATGTGACACGCTGGCCTTGACACTGTTGAAGCTACTCGATTTGCACTCAGGCAATTTAAAGTTAGAAACATCGGAACCCGGGACTTTGGCTTCTTTTACGTTATAAATCGTAGTATGTGGACTCTTATACACAACTGACTTAGAGGTCTCAGATTTTTGAGGAGTTTTTTCTATGCCTTCAACGTTTTCATGACTTAGCATTTCAGATTCTTTTAAGACTATTGATCTTTCTCCAGAATTAAACAAAATATCTAAGTTTGAGTCACTAATGGGAGGTGTACAATCGCCGCTATTCTGCTCAGGCTGAGATGCTGGCAGTAAAGCTACATCCTCCCAATCAGCCAACATAGGTAAACAGTCAAGAGCGGAACTCGTTTCCATGTCCGAAACATGATTAACAGATGAAAGGGTAGTTGAAACAAGCACCAGTTCTGAACCAATTGTCGAAGCCTTGGATTCGGCACTAAATGCACGACGTTCGCCTTTCACTTGCTTCTGCATAGGGGCGGCCACGCGGGGACACTGCAACTGCCCCAGGGCAGCAGAGGACCAAGTATTACAAAGAGACGGATGGCGTTTGGCATTGCAAAGATCCACTTTTGTATGGCTCCTAGGTTGTAACTCATCTTGCTGTCTCTTTACAGGAGACTTCACACCAGCTGACCTCATTTGAACTCTTTCTTGATAATGCATTGTATTTTCAGGCTCTCTATTGCAGACGTTGGGACCTTGAATGCTACTGTTGCTGGCTGATGTTGCTTCGACTCGATTCATATTCAAATTTCTGGCCAAAATGTTGGGATTCTTCTTAGTGGGAACCTATGATTCCACAGACAAACCCAACAGCTTTAGCAACTGTGCATCCAGGATTGCTTTAGTATATACATCATGTGATATGACAAAAAAAAAAACAAAAAACAACCCATCACCGCTGATTAATTTATAAAGGATTGCACACATGACAGCTCATTGCGATGAACCCAAGACTCCTTCTGGAGTTTGATGGGATGGCAGAATAAAGAGGTGAGGCACCACTGACCTTGTTCAAGCACCTGGTAATTTTCATCGAGCAACCATCCCTGATCATTTTCCAGGCAAGAAGGGCCGTATTCCGCGAGTCATCCAATCCTGAGGAAATAGACATTAAACACTGAATTTAGTGGTACCAGCGTAAAAAAATATAGCAAAAAAAACCCCACCAAAAAAACACACACACACACAAAAAAACCCACCACTTAAATAGACTCTGGAACATGCTGTCAGTTGTATGATCATCTACTAATTTTAATTATGGTAAATTGGTCTTGTGGCAGCCTTTCCATGGAAAGACAAGATCTATCACATTTACAGAGAAGGTGAAAATTTCATAGGAAGTTCACGAAAAGGCGACCGACATTCCGTAGGGATGATGTTCTGTGAGCGATCTAACAGTCTCGTTCAGTTCTTTCACTAGTCCACTGTATTATTTGGGTGTTTGTTTAATTTCCATTGGACTGGAAAGCACAAGATGGCAGGTTTTATATTTTAATACTTTATCAAAGTGGTAATCTGAAAGTCTTAGGAACAATTTGAATTGAATAGATTAGAGAAATTTTTAAGTTGAAGTGTGTTCCTTTTTAATGACATAACGAAAATGAGATCTACATGAAAGACTTTATAAAAATAAAATTACTTACATCATAAAATGATTTTCAATTTATACTAACCGGAATGTTCTCGTCCCAAGAATTCTATTCCTACTTCCTGCAGGGCACCACTTAGTCCTTTTGGTTTTCTCCTATAGAAAATCTAATCACATAAATGAGGACATTTCTAAAAAAAAAAAATTATTACTATTTGAAAGGCTATATGTTAACTGCTTATTTTTCATCGTTTTTAGTTCTATTAGATTTGGAATGTTATTTTTGCTGTGTTGTTTTTACATACTTTAAGAAATGGATTTATGTGAATGTTTCAAAAGAAAATATTTTATTTGCAGGAACCCATAGCTATGTGTGGGGTAAAGTTTAATCAATCATTTTTCAACAAAAGGAAAATGAACGTGACCCCATCTTTGACACTTACCTTGTAAGTTACTCTGAGATCAATCCAAGAATTTAAGAATACGGGTTTCAACAGCTGTTTTCTCTTACACTCATACTCCAGGCAAACCCCCAAGTCCCAGTCTGCATTAAATATATTAAAACAGAACAAAGTCAGTGATGCTGGCAGTCCTTACTTATGCCATCATCGTTTGTATTTTAATTTATTTTTTCCTTGATGTCTATATTAGTGTGAAAGTATAAGAGCGAAGGATATGAGTTGACTGAAAATTCTTTTTATTCAAGGTTGTACAAAATAGCATGATAAAAGTTTTCACTAAATCATCTTTGCCTGGATTCAGAAGAACAGAGAGGTACAATCTAGAAATTTACTTAAAGTTAAGGCTTAAAATTTTAAGGTACCCCAGAATGGTAATTTTAAAAATATCAATAAATTTATTGTTCATGTTTAATATCCGCTAGGCACTTGAATTTCTTTTCCTGGCTCAGGAAGTTAACAAGTATAATTCTTATTTGAGATAAAGAATTACATAATGGTACTGCTACTCATTGATGATTAATAGATAGAACATTTTTTACCTGACCAAGTAACAAATGCACATAATTTTACTTCGGAAGTAGATAGATCTGAAATCCCAGTAGCAAAAGTAATTTTCTTCTCTTGCTGAATCTTGTGAATCCATTTACAGAATTGAGATAAGCAAATCTTCAGAGGGACCCCTTCGTCAACTTGATCCTAAATAGAGTCACAAAATCTGAATTCAACAGTCAAATTCCATAATTACTGAGCACAGAATTAGCACATAATCAGGCACCATGTAGGATATAACAGAAAAGAGGTTCTAATTGACAAAAACTCTATCTATTGAAAAGGTGTTAAAACACATGGGAAAGAGATAATCATTACAACTCTGCAAGGTAAGAAAAATTAAGTTGACCAATTTAAAATCACACAGGAATATAATGATTAAATCCGAACTGACAGACATTTGATGTATTTAATTTCCATAAAATACATTTGGTATTTATTTTTACAATACTAGTCTTCCTAATTTTTAAAGATTTCAAAGGATTTTTTTTCTTCTAACACTGAAAAAATCTAATTCCAAATAGTATAGAGCTTTTATTTTCTTAATTTTAATATTTGCATCGTACCTGCTTGTTTTTTGTTTGGGGGGTTGGTAAGAAGAGAGTAGGTAGGGCATACCTGCTTTATGCCTGTCAGTTCCATGCAAAATTCAGAAAGAATTGGATGTTCCTGAGGCTGAACGTAAGCATGGAACTCAGATTCAATCTCTCCATTTGAGGTGTTCAGAAGTACTGCTGGAAATTCAACTACATTGGAAGAATCGGCAATTGACATGTGAATATATAATTGTTAAATTATTGCCGTAAGCGCTATAAATTAAACATCTATTACCATGCTTATGGCATTATTAAACAATCATTTTCAGTAAAAGCATATTCAAATGACCAAAACAGTGTGATACAATCGTTATAATAAAGTTATGCCAAAGAATAAGTTAAAATACTAAAGTTAAGAGTATGTCAACTTAAAACTCTTGAATAATTTTCCACAATTAAATATGGAAGTTGAAATGTATTCTTTTTTTGCAAAGGTATTTTTTTCAGTTTTCTATACAATTGAGATTTTGCATATAACCCTAAAATGATTATTTTATATGATGACATATTAGGTATTACATTTTTGTTCTCTTTTTTTGTCAAGTCAGGTTTTATAGTGAACTACTGATTGATTCACAGATCATCTTGTTTTAACTGTTGACTGTTTTATACCTACAAAGTTTAAAGTGACTCATCTAATGCTAGCTGTGGCCATTGGCAATCCAGACTTACTTATTTCCTGGCTCTGGTGGCGTTTCCCTTCATTCCAACATGTCGACTCAAAATCAATGACAATTAAGTAGTCAAATAACTGCTCTGCAAAAGACCAGGGTATCCTTAGGCTTCGCCAGTGTTAAAAGTGCAAGCTACAAAATAAAAAGAACTCAAGCATGGTACTTACTGGATTTGCTTCTTCCTAGACTTCCACTTGCTGGTGCAATGGACTTTCTCCTAATAAATCCAAGCTGCCTAAAAACATAGAACAAGCCCATCTGTTCAACAAATTCATTCACTTCTATTTGAATTGGCTAACGAAATAATAATAGGGCTCTCGTTGTTGTTGTAGTAATGTATTGTGATTGAAAGGAGATTGAACTAGACTCTGAGGGCAAAAGACTTTGGTTCTTGCACTAGCTGGCCACGTTCTCTTGATTTTAGCAGTTATCTTACCTGCATGAACCTCAGAGTAACCATTTGCAAACTTAAATCTTTCTGCCCCGTTATTGTACAGTAACACTGTGGAACTCAAGTGACTGCAGAGGTAAAAATGCGTCAAAACGTTTAAGTTATTTTTGCCTTTGTATTTTTCACGCCTCTGCTACACAGCAGTCCTGAAAATACAGACAAGACCGACTTCTAGGAGCTTAAAATATGTGGGTAAAGAAACGACTTTACAGTGGCAAATTACTGTAAGATAATGCGTGATAAAGGACCTCAAAGGCCATACACTGAGCTCACAGAAAGGGGATGAGCTAACTGAGGTCCTAAGGTCGGTGCGACAAAACTACTTTGATGAGCTGGTAGTTTAACGAGGCCGACACGTCCTGTTCTGGTTTTCTGTTTAAGAGGTGTGATGGGAAGTTGGGAATAACAGCTAACATTTATTGATTCTTACTACAAGGCAGACACTGAACTAAGACGGTGACCACATTTAACCCTCAACAAATGGACAAGGTAGTCCCCTTTGCTACCTATGTTTCATGGATGAGAAAACGAACTCAGTAATTTGCCCAAGAAGACGTATTTGACATGCGATCTTAGGATCCTCCACCTCTGAAGCCCATGCTACTCGCTAATAAATTAGTCTCTTCTGGAAACTGGAAATGGGAGCCGCATTTCCAGGAATCAGGCAGGAAAGAAGGCCACAATGGTTCACATTAGGAATTAAACGGATCCCTGGGAAGAGGTGGGGCCAACAGCTTGATGGGCGCTGTGGGTAAAGAAACGACTTTACAGTTGGGCGTAGACCACCCAACGGTCTACGCGGCGCGGTCCAGTCCTTTCCCCGGGGTCTACAATGCGCAGCCGCGGCCTCAGGACCACAGAGTCGAGACCCCAGGTCCTAACACCCTCGCTCAGTGAGCGGCCTGAGGCCGGAGTCGCAGGTCCAGGCCGACCTTCCGGCCCGAGACCGAGACGCATGGGCCGCAGGGAAGGAGGAGGACACCGCGCCGGCCGGCGCGGG